TATGTGCAAGTTACTTACCTACAGTATAAATACTTTGAAATAAGCTTTCGCTCAGTAAGTATGAATTATTACTCGCAAAATAACTGAAAGTTCACATGACTATATATGCATGAATTGATTATGTTGTCTTATGATGTTTTATCATAGTTTTACTGTCTGAATTAATCTTATTTACTGATAGGGTTTGCAAGGTCCTCAACGACACCGTGATTTCAACTGAACTGAGTACCTCCCTTGCGGAGGCTGGTACGGCACTCAACTGTGTTTCTTCTTATAAGTTCCTATTGACTTATTAAGGTGTATGCAATATGACAAAATAAAACATATTATTACTATAACATGAAATATACTTATATATAATTCGTATGTACTGTTTATTTTAAAATCTATTTATATTGTAAGCGAGATTCCTACTTACCTGTTTTTAGGAAGTGGAATCCTCTATTCGCCAAAGAGTCTGTTCTCTTTCTTTCTTGTTTTTGAGAATGAACACTTATTAAGAGTGTGAGATTAACTATCACTTGCTATTCTATTTTAGCAAACTTGAAAGAAAGTCTAACTTATCTATTTATGGCTCACTTTTTCTTTTCATATCTTAAGGATTATAAAACTTTGTTTCTAATTTAAAGATTAGGTTTATTGAATCCTGATTACCTTACTTTTTATTAGCAAAGTCTGAAATCGATATACTTTTTTGAAATTATACTTTGAGTTTTTCAGCGAACTTCTCTGTTCAACACCAAAACTGTTTTAACAGTTATGCAGTGTTTTTTTTTTCTAAGAAAATAGTTTAAAGCTTCTATTTAGAACTAAAATTAAGTTTAGCCTCAATTTATATGACTAAAACTAGGTTGAACCTCAAATTCTTAAACTAAATTTCGGCGAAATTTTGCCTTATTTTTCTATGTTTTCCGAGCTAACTTTAGCTCGCTTTATCCATTGTTTTCACCTTCAAACACAAACCATATCCTTTCTCTTTCAAATACACCATCAACATCATCATGGTTCTAGGGTTTCTCCATATTTCTATCAAAATTCTCTATATCAAGAATTGCTAGAAACAAAAGTTCAATAATTAAGAATTTATCCTTAGTTCACTAGATTTCAAATTCCTTAACCATTATAAGCAAATCACCATTTTTAGTAAATTTTTTTTCCATACTTCCCTACATTTCCACGGCAACCAAGGGAGAGGAAATAAGAGGAAAAACTTGAAATCTCACCTTAGGGAATGAAGATCAAGCTTCAGTGACGCTATTTGTCGATAATTTCGTCGATTTCCGCTTAAATCTCTTTTTCTCACTTTGGAATTTTTTTCCTCTCTATTTCTCTTGGCTGGGCTCTCTAGTTTCTTTTTCACGTGAAAGTGACCATTTACATGTATTTGTTCATCATTGAACCGGCCATCAAAAAGCAAGGGACCAAACAATGCAAAATTTGATTTTTTGAATGACTATTTTACAAAAATTTCAACAAATATCTCTTGCTTCCTCATTAAGTTTACTGGCTTGAAATGCCGGAAAAAATCCTAGAATTAATAATGTAAATTTATTTATTTAAGTCTAGGACTTCTCTCAGTAATTTACTGTCATATTTTGTGACTGAAGGATTTATAGAATTAATATCAGTATTCCTAAATTTTGTAGCAAGTCTTATGATGAGTTCATAATTTAAGAATAAGTAAATTCAGTTGATAAATTCCTACCGCAGTTAAGGCAGAAGAAATCCTTCGTGCATATACAGTTTGAAAATCATAATCTCAGGAATCTCTTAGTGCAGTATAATATTAGCAGCGTATAGAGAAACGCTCTAACATTTAAAGAGAAAACACTTAATTTTCAAACAGATAAGAGGAAATTAAATAGGTAGTGTATCAGTAAAGAAATTTAGATATAATATGGGTTCAGAAGTTGACAAAGTCGATAACTGAAATTTCATGTCAACTAAGTAAATTCTCAAAAGTCAGTATGAAGTAATAAGAATAGCTATAAGAATAGAACATTAAGGGGTGATTACTAAGTGTTCACCAAACCTTGCTTATGTAAGTAAGATGACATCAAGTAAGCAATTAGAAATTTAAATTAGGTAAGATACCGTTACCGACTTTCAGACTGCAATAAGGAAAGATGTGCATAATGCTGTGTTAAACCCACAAGTGGGCCAACACATGAATCTTAAGGTTAAGAAATGAAAAAGAATTGAAAGACATCAATTCTAGGGTTTTAGAAACAATCGGAATGAAAAATAGACGGAAAAAGGGGTTCGGAAGGCCGAATCGCGTAAATTGGGGTTTCGACTGATTTAAGTGGACCAAGTCAAAATTTGTTGACCAAGAGTCAACCCAAAACATCGCCTTCGAAAAGTAAGTCAAGAATGGTCAAGGTTGACTAAGTTGACCAACTATAAAAAAAAAAAGTAGATAAAACGCACACCAAACAGGAATTAAACGGAACAGAAATGAGATAATTATTATGAATCGATGGCTAGAATTTAAAGTAACTAAATTTATGAGTGGCTGAGATGAGGACATATGGAAAAAAAGGGGGGGGGGGGGTCAGCTGGCCAACTTAATGAGAAAGTAAGATATATTTGTTGGAATTTTTGCAAAAAGGTCCTTGGAAAAGTGAAATTTTGCATTGTTTGGTCCTTTATTTTTTGATGACCGGTTCAATGATTAACAAATACATGTAAATGGTCACTTTCACGTGGAAAAGAAATCAGATAGCCCAGCCAAGAGAAATAGAGAGGGAAAAAATTCCAAAGTGAGAAAAAGAGGGATTTAAGCAGAAATCGACGGAATTACCGAGGAATAGCGTCACTTAAACTTGATGTCCATTCCCTAAGGTGAGATTTCAAGTTTTTCCTCTTCCTTGGCTGCTGTGGAAGTGTAGAGAAGTATGGAAAAAAAATTTACTAAAATTGGTGATTTGCTTGTAATGGTTAAGGAACTTGAAATCTAGTGAACTAAGGATAAGTTCTTGGTTATTGAACTTTAGTTTCTAGTAATTCTTGATATAGAGAATTTTGATAGAAATATGGAGAACCCCTAGAACCATGATGATGTTGATGGTGTATTTGAAAGAGAAAGGATATAGTTTGTGTTTGAAGGTGAAAATAATGGATAAAGCGAGCTAAAGTTAGCTCGGAAAACATAGAAAAATAAAGTGAAACTCCGCCGAAATTTAGTTTAAGAATTTGAGGTTAAACTTAGTTTTAGTTCTAGAATTTGATGCTAAACTTGGTTTTAGTTATAAATAGAAGTTTTAAACTATTTTCTTAGAAAAAAAAAACACTACGTAACTGTTAAAACAGTTTTGGTGTTGAACAGAGGAGTTCGCTGAAGAACTCGAAGTATAATCTCAGGAAAGTATGTCGATTTCAGACTTTGCTAATAAAAAGTAAGGTAATCAGGATTCAATAAACCTAACCTTTAAATTAGAAACAAGGTTTTACAATCTTTAAGATAGGAAAAGATAAAGTGAGCCATAAATAGAGAAGTTAGACTTTCTTTCAAGCTTGTTAAAATAGAATAACAAGTGATAGTTAATCTCACTCTTAATGGGTGTTCATTCTCAAAAACAAGAAAGAAAGAGAACAGCCTCTTTGGCGAATAGAGGATTCCACTTTCTAAAAACAGGTAAGTAGGAATCTCGCCTACAGTATAAATAGATTTTAAAATAAACAGTACACATGAATTATATATGTTTAAGTATATTTCATGTTATAGTAATAATATGTTTTACTTTGTCATATTGCACACCTTAATAAGTCAAGAGGAACTTATAAGAAGAAGCACAGTTGAGTGTCGTACCAGCCTCCGCAAGGGAAGTACTCAACTCAGTTTAAATCATGGTGTCGTTGGGAACCTTGCAAACCCTTACGTCCCGATGATTGCGCGCAATGGTACGAGCACTTGGGCTCATCAGTAAATAAGATTAATTCAGACAGTAAAATTATGATAAAACATCATAAGACAGCATAATCAATTGATGCATATATAGTCATGTGAACTTTCAGTTATTTTGCGAGTAATAGTTCCTACTTGCTGAGCGAAAGCTCATTTCAGAGTATTTATACTGTAGGTAAGCAACCTGCACTTAATGTTTGATGAACTGATGGCGAGGCAGCGAACGAACAGAGTGGAGGTCAGGGAATGGATACCGCGCGCAGTCATTTCCGCAATAGTTTAAAGTTTTAAAAGATTTTATTGAATATGTCTATAAACTTGTGTTTTGTAGATTGTAGTATGATTGTCGAGTTTGTGTAAACTAGCAGGATTTTGAGAAGCAAAAATATACCTATGTGTAAATTTATACTTTTGAAAAGGAATTGTTTTTTAAGTATAAACACTTTGCTATGTTCAAAAGTGAAAACCAGAATTTATGTCGTTACAATAAGTAGAAAAAAAAAAAAAAAAAAAAAAAAAAAAAAAAAAAAAAAAAGAAAAGTCGCTCAGATTTTGGGGTTTCAGAAAATATATATTAAAGTTAGTTACAGTGACGGCCAACCCAGCAGGGTCGTTACAGTAGAAGACCTAGGGTTTTTGAAAGTTAGGAAATTATCTCTCAAAGAGATTATCATTCTAAAAGTTAGGAGTTGTCTCTTCCTAGATTATGTTTTTAAATTTAGAAATCCGGATGGAATGTTTGATTAGGTCCGGATAAGGATGACTTGGAATTCAATTAGGATTTCATGTTTTTAAGTTAGTTTTATGCCTATAAATAAGCTTGTAAATTCCGCATATTAATAATAAGAAAATAAGCTCTTTTTCTTCTAAAAAAACTACACTTCTCAATAGGTATAGTATTATGGTTGCTTGAGGAAAGTTGACAAGATATTATTGTCTGTGTTTTTGTTGACTACTGGCTAGTTTGTGTTGGTTAGTTCTAAATAGATGCAGACTTTTATGGTGATAACTTCATGGCCTTTCTTGTACATTTTTCCATTGTAGCTCCTTGTGTTGGAAGCTAACTTCTTATTTGTTTCCGGCACCTCTGCAGAAGCAAAAAGTGTCCAATTCATATCCGCCAGAATTTGGTCTTGTAAAGAGATTCTGGAAATATATATTGGATCGTCAGGTTATATTTCTTTTCTGAAGTGGAAGATGGAGTTTTGTTTCTTTCAAGAGAAAATTTCCTTATATATTCAACTTTCATACCCAGGGTTTATCTGGAGACGACCTGTGGGCTTCTATTTCAAATAGCTCTTTGCTTTCTGTTGCTTCTCTATTGAAGCATTGCGACTTCGGAGTTACAGGGAAGGTGAAGATCCGTAAACATTTTTTTCTTTTTGGGGAGAGAAAATCTGTAAACTTTAGGCTGTTGAATTTGATTTGTTATGTTTACTGAAAATGACATGCATTTCCTAACGGTGAAGGGTCCATTCAAGGATGAATTTGTGAAGGCTGGGGGTGTTCCGCTATCCGAGGTATCTCTCACTCTCTGTGTAATATATACTCTAATGTGTACACATGCATACATTCATTGAATGCTAAATCCTTTTTCTTGCTTCTGTGAAGATCTTGCTGAATACAATGGAAAGTAAAATTCATTCCGGTTTGTTCTTTGCTGGGGAGGTAATAATCCTTGAAAATTTTGTTGGTTTCTGTAAGAACTATAAACCAAAGCGTTTGAACAAAGAAACTAATGAAAGAGAGAGATTAGAGAATTTCTGAAGAATTAATTCTCATTATTGAATCTGATTGTTGTACTCATTTAAGTACTAGCTACTGATTAGATTGGTAACTAACTCAACTAAGCTAATTACAATTACATCAGCAGTGTAACAAACCCATAACTAATTATTACACTTACAAACTGTAACAGAAAAGTAACTAACTGCAGCTAAGCTAAGCTAACTACTATCGCTTACAGTTTCCATGACAAACATTTACAAACTAATATGAATGATGCTCAATTTCTTGCACTGAAGAGTAACATATGCAGGTATTGAATGTTGATGGAGTGACCGGTGGTTTCAATTTTCAGGTAAAGAAATATGATATAGAGAGAATACACACACACACACACATATATATGTATGTATTGGACTAGATGATGCTTACTATAATACTTACTTTGTTAAGAAACTATGTGCTCAAAGATGATAGTAGCAATTTGTCACAATGAAATGTTATCTTGCTCATATTTAATTGTTATATGATGAAACATTAAGTCACTCAACTAAAGTATTTGTCTATTTGATGTCTAGTTGTTCATCACTCTTCATTAGTGGACTCTCGCTAAGCCATTATTTCTTTTTTGCAGAACGCTTGGTCAGGTGGATACATAGCTGGAACTACTATTGGTACACGAGTGCATGATGCTCATCTCAGGGTTTTGGATTTAGGATAAGATTGGTAGTACGCAAGGGAATTGCTTTCTTATTTTCCTTTCTTTCTTTCTTTCTTTGTTTTTTTTTTTTTTTTTGTGCTAAAACAAGGGAATTGCTTCTTGAATCATATATAGTGAACCTTGTGATTGTGTTGTAAACTAACACGGTTCTCTTATATTTTCTCGTGTTTTTAAAAAAAAAAAAAAAAAATTCCTTCATTTATTTGGCAATTCTCTCATAATATCCTTTGTCCAACTACAATACAAACATCACCTTGTTAATGTTTTATCGCTACCTTTTTTTTTGTACAATTTTTATCTTCAAGTTGAAGACCCCTTTTGGGAAAGTGGAGATTAGGTGAGCAGTTGGGTGTCCTATCATGAATGCTTTTTCTTTTTTATTTTTTAATCGCTTTGGTGGATCCTTTCGCATAAAGAGAGCAAAATAGTGTTTGGAGAGAGAAAATGATGAGAAAATTTTAAGAAAGAATGCTTTCGGCTGAATTTCTATGGCTGAAATTCTATTATTCATCAAGTGTACAGTAATACAAGATTTGTAGTGCTTAATTACTAGTAAGTAGTTCTAACTAATCCCGTTATTCTCGGGCTTCAGTAATGAGAAATTAGTTATATGGCTAAAATTAATTAACAAACTTCTAGATTCTGCTTATGACTTTCTTGCTGAGCTGGACTTCTACTAAAAGCTTTAGAAGAAGATATTGCTTTAACACCTCCCCTCAAGCGAAAGGGAGAGATCTCTATCTTGAACTTGTCCCTTAAACGCAGAAATCTGTTTACTGAAAGTCCTTTCGTCAATGCATCAGCAATTTGATCAAATGTTTGTTAGTATCGATTTTAGTCTTTTAATATTTTATAAGACAATATGAATAATATAGAAATATAAAATAAAAAAATACGAGAGAAATAATATCGCGGTTTGATAACACCTTATTCCGCGGGGTCACGTTTAGATGATGAACAATCTATTAAGAACTATTTTACAATTTAATTGATCTCCTTTCATTCTGAAATCTTTCCAAAATTGATAAACAAATCTGTACACATTCTTAAACGACATAAGAAGATTATCTAACTATGAAATCTCAATTAAAAATCAATCAAATTAATTTTTCATCTTTAAATCAATAGTTTTAGAAAAATAAAAACTAAAACAAGTTTCTGAATTTTTTAAAATCTGTCAAAATAAACTTACCAACTGCATAAGCATTTGTAAACGCAATCATCTCAGCAAAATATTCTCAAAATAATGTTAATATCAATACACAAATTTGAAAACAAATTCCAACAATATCGAATTTCAAGCTGCTTTCTAAGCACCATATCTCTGACAAAGTAAATGTCAATTTCTATATGTTTAGTTCTTGCGTGGTAGACGAGATTAGCTGTCAAAGCTGCTGCTCTAATGTTGTCACTCCAAACAACTGGACAAGAACTTATTTGAAGAGGTTGAAATTTTGGAGGACAAAGGTTAGATCCGAGAACATAACATTTCAGATCATAGCCTCGAAGAGCCGAAAGAGCTTGAGATCTCTAAACAAGATAATTTTCTCGGTCCAATCGAACAGAAATTGATGTGTTGAGAGATGAATTGAACGGATTCACTCGTTGCGCTAGGGAAGAAGAAGAAGGACCTCCAGTAGAACTAGATGAAGACGAAGAACCAGAATCTCCAACAGTAGCCATTGAATCTCGTCTCTGCAAGAGAAAGAAGGGCTCTGACACCAAGACAAAACTAGTGTTTGGATAGAAAGAAAATGACCAGAAAATTTTGAGAAAGAATGCTCTCAGCTGAATTTCTGTCATTCATCAAGTGCACAGTAATATAATATTTATAGTGCTTGATTACTATCATGTAATTCTAACTAATCCCGTAATTCTCGAGCTTCAGCAATGAAAAATTAGTTACATGACTAAAAGTAATTAACAAATTTCTAGACTGTGCTTATGACTTTCTTGCTGAGTTGGACTTCTACTAGAATCTTCAGAAGAAGCTATTGCTTTAACAAAAAAGGGAAAGCTATGGTGGTCGGGTTTAAATTGATCTTTTTTTTTTTTATGTTTTAAAAAAATAAAAATTAAAACGTTTTTAAAACGGTGTTTAGTATAATAAAAATAAAAAATAAAAATAAAAATAAATTTTTAATTTAATATAAAATAAGAAATAAATGAAAAATGACTTTTAATTATTTTTTATTTTCTTCTCTTTTGAGCAAGAGAGAGAAAGGGAGACATTAATTTATTTTTTTACACTAAAAATAATCTTTTAATAAAACTATCAAACGTATTTTTAAAAATAATTTCTGTCTGAGATTAAAAACGTTTTTATTTTCATCTTCATATAAAAAAATAAAATTATTTTAGAGTGAGTTCTAAACGCGTCATATACTTTAAGATGCATTTTTTTTTAATTGGATTATTGTGTCTCAATTAACACAAATTTGATTGGAAACTCTTTTCCTCGTAAAATCTCAATCGCCTTTTTGACTGATACCAAGCTAAAGTGGCTTTGATTCCAATCACTTCCTCAGCCGATCGGATATCGTTCTGAATGAAATATACCATCTTCACATTTCAGTTCTGTTTTCCTAATGTTTTAGCAAATGACCACACATGTGCATGTGCCTATCACTTCCTATGTACATAAGCCGCCCTCTTGCAAAATAAATATAAACAGATGAGCCTTCTCTTTTACCCTTTTCTTTTCTTCTTTTTTTTCTGGTAAGAAAATTAGGATAATTATATTCCACAGCAAATAGGTTCTTTAGCCCAAAAAAAAAAAAGAAAAAAAAAAGAGAGAGATTAAATCTTCACGAAATGACCATGAAAATTGGACATATGTTTTATTCTTATTATTAAATCTTTTCCTTGGAATCATTAGTAAAATAGGTGAAATTAAGGGAGAGGTTCTTTGGAATTGATGAGAAAAATATTTGGCGAAAGGGACTTCCAACCCTATATAATTTATTTGACTGAGATATATTTTGGATAAAGAATGGTAATAGAAGACCAAATTCCGTTGCATATGACAAAAAAAAAATTGAATAATTCCAAGTAAAAATTACAAGACGTGACCTACTTTTAGAGTTGATTTAAAATGTGACTTACTTTTTTAAATATCACATATATGACTTTTTTTTTTTAAAAATCTCATTTTTTGACATTTCAAATACACCCTTCCATTTATTTTGCTGGGCGTTTTTTGTATATAACTAACTGCCATATTTTTCTCTTCCAGCACAATCCGTCCTAATAGAACATATCATTAAAATAGAACATCATTAATAGATTGTAATATCAATTATAATGTAATAGAACAACCCATCCTAATAGAACATCATTAATGTAAAGTAATATGGATTATAATGTAATAGAACAACCGATCCTAATATCAATTATAAAATAGAACATCATTATGTAAATTCAATTATAATGTAATAGAACATCATTAAAATACTAACATATCATTAAAATAGAAACTTTATTTTTGGGATTTGAATTTTTTAAAATAAATAGATATCCCACAAATCGTGGAAAAATGTATAACAATAAGTGATATATCATTATAAAATTAATAATGTAATAACATATTACGTTATTTAAATATTATTATATAATTAGATCTGAGATATTCTCAAACCTAAGTTATATTTCAATTAAAAAGTAATAATTCAGTCACATGTCTAAATCACGCTAATTCCAAACGTTCTAGACCCGCGGGATAAAGTACAAAATCAGAGAACTATTAGCCGCCAACGATCTTGTTATGCTTCTACTAACCACGTCAATCCTACGGTTCTCACGTGAGCGAATGGGCATTTTGACCCCGGCGGTGCGCTTTGACTCTATTAAATTAGTACGAGTACGACCCGTCTCCTTCGAGTTAGAATTCTCCAATTAATCTTTAACAAAGGCCCTTAATCAATATGCGATTAGTCAATATAGTGGGGCATATTCTAGAGTACATGACTGAGAGGAAAAAAAATGGAATATCATGTTTTTTATTAGAAGAATTCTTTAGTATGTTCGAAACAAAACAATCTTATTTTTTTTCCCTCCGTACACAATGCGACATCAAATTTAAGTTTCATCCCGTCTTACTTAAAGTTCGTTTAGTTCGCTGATTCGAGTTTTTAATTTAAATTGAGATGTAACTTTATGTGATAATTTTTTATTTTAACAAAAAAAAAATAGATGTGATTATTTTTGAGAATTTTTTTACTGTAATAAAAATCGAATCGGCGAAATAAATGAAGCCTTATAACTCGACGTAATCATCATCCAACCTTTCACTCTTTTATTTTGTAAATTTTAAGTAATATAACTCAAGAAAGGCACAATACCAATGAAACCCACCATGAAATTTTTCAATGAATTGGAAATCTTACCTCCCCCTCGTGAATTTATTTATTTTTTGTTGATATATAAATTTATTTTTTTAAAGGAAAAGGTATGCAATCCTCATGCAGTGACTTCACATAATGATAATACCCAACACACCTAGAAAATATAAAACAGTACTCACGTGAGCTATAACTCGGGATGACATTCATTATCTCACTCTATACATATATTTTATTGAAATAATTAAGTGGGGGTTTTTTTTTTTTTGAGAGTATAAAGTATACATTAAAAACAAGATAGTACAGTAATATGCGCATGTAGCAGAATGACTTAAATTACTCAAGCTGGAAAATCATGAGAAAATGCTGGACCATTGTCAGGTAGATCTCAACGCTAGACATCCAAGTTCCAACCAATTTAATTAATTTAGTATTGACCCAAGAAATTTCACTATACACTTTGACCATATATTATTATACTCTTGAATCTTGATGACAGTTTTTGGGTACCAGAAAAGCCTAAAAGAAAAGAAACAAACAAATGAGACACATCCAAGTCTTCAAGTCGAGGAGGCCATACTGACGCAGACGCCAACAATCAAGATAATCCAAAATCCTTAGAACACCTTTCCACGTCAAGAAAATCACATTCCCTTTTACCTGCATATTCCAGAATCCAAAAATCTTCATCTCCAAACACCGCCCTTACGCATATATATAAATATAAATACACAATTATTATTTTCGCGGATTTTCCTCTGGCTCCTAACGCTCCTCACACTTTCTCTCTCCTCCTCTGATCTTTTTTCCGTGACTCGCCTCCATACTTTCTCTCTCCTATCCGAGTCGGTGGTCCGAGCTTCGTCAGATTTGCTTTTCTTTTCCGGTATTTATCTCCTCTGCTTTCGCTACATGCATTACACTCATATTATATATACATATATACATATATACACACTTGTTTGTGTATCAGAAGTATTGTATATTTGTATTTGTATGCGTTTCGAAGGGCTTTACGCGATCATCAATGGCGGTGAATCGCTGATGAGGTTGAGCTTGTTGTTTTGTTTTTGAACTGGATTTGAGCTGTGGAAGCCTTACTGACGAAGGAGATTGGATTCAGATTCTGTGGTTTTAGGGACAGAAATGGAGGAGGACGGAGATGTTGGGAAGAAAATCACGATTGGAGTATGCGTGATGGAAAAGAAGGTGAAAAGTGGTCCCGAGGTTCTTCTTGTTCTACTACACTTTTTATATTTATTTTTATTTTTTTCTTTCATTTTAGTCCAAAACACATTGCACTCGCGTATGAATGTGCATATGTAGAGCTAATCTCTTCGCTGAATGTAGATGTTCTCGGCGCCAATGAAACAGATCCTTGATAGATTACAGGCATTTGGTGAATTTGAGGTAGATGTTCGTTTTGATCTGATTCGTGCTGAGTGCGTGCTCTTTTATATGGTTCTTGATTTATAATTCTGTTTTCTGAGCAAATTTAGATGCAGATTTTGTTTGGATTGTGAAATCAGTTGAGATTCTGAAATCACGTTAGTTTGAACAACTTTCTTATAGTTCTCTTGTGTCTGTTCTGATAGATAATACATTTCGGAGACAAGGTCATTCTTGAAGATCCAATAGAAAGGTACATTTTCACATAATTAGGTGAAGCGTGATGATCAATCTTTGTTTGCGTCTTTTTTAGGATCGTACAGTTTTACGACAATGTATTTAATCAAAAGGAGTTAGCTCATGTCTATGATTGTGTCTCAAAATTCTTTTTTTCCTGTAAAGAAATGCTAGCAACAGTGTGAAAATGACTGTAGTCTGTTGTGTAGCATGTACGACATGGGAGAGCTATAGCAGACATTTTGGTGTTGGTGGCTTGTGACTGTTTGATTCATGTTGTTTCAGCTGGCCTATATGTGATTGCTTGATTGCCTTCTATTCCACTGGATATCCTCTTGAGAAGGCCGAAGCATATGCTGCTTTAAGAAAGTAAGAATTTGAATTTATTATGTTCTCGTTCCAGTAGATTCATAAATGTATCATTTTCAGTCAGAAATAGCTAGTGAAGAGTTATCCATCTAATATCAAGAAAACTATTCCTGAAGATGCCTCTCAGTTTCTAATAGATCCATGAAATTCCTCTCCGAGTTCAATTTACTTCCAGAAAAGGAGCATTCAATTAATTGTTTTAAGGATTGTTGGTGAACAAGAAAAAAGGCACGCGTTGGGGGTTGGGCAATATAATGGAAATTAGGTGTTTGCTTGGCTCTTAGAATAAATGAAAGAAATATTTTTGTCTCATTTATTTGCTATTTTGTTATTATTATTCAGTAGTTCTTGTAACTATTTTTTAGAACCTGTTAAATTTTTCACGACCCTTTAGTATTCAAATAGTAGGAGGGTTGTGGTTTTTTTTTTTTTTTGGTCCTGTATTAACTTCATCTCTGATCCAGACCTTTCCTTGTCAATGAGCTGGAGCCACAACACCTGCTTCATGACCGAAGGAAGGTATATGAGGTATGTGCGTGAACTTTCAACTTCTTGTTGGCATTTCCATTTGATGATTGCAGTTTTCATGTTGTTTCCTAGTATTTTTGTGATCATTGCTCAGAACACTGTAAGTCTCCTCAGTCTTTTTTGGTTAGATAAACAGCTCAATTAAAGGTTAAAATTAAAGAGATGGGAAGAGAGAGAGAGAGAGATAATTGGCCCAAAAAGAAAATTTATAAGCTCCATGCTGCATGCATGTATTGGTTCTTCTTATATCTGAATACGTCCTTATGTTGAGACTACTACGCTTAAGCAAAAGTGTTTTGTGAATAGCAATTTCAAACGTTGAGAGCTTGTACTTTTAGCCAAGCTTCTCTGCTTGTTGTTTCTGTTTATATTTTCATCTCCTTTACATCATCTATCAAACTACTTTATCTCCTTTACATCATCTAATACCTTAATCTTGTTTGGCTCAAGCGTCTTGAAATGTTTGGAATTCCTGTTCCAAGATATGCCCTTGTAAATAGGGAGGTGCCTCGTCAAGAACTGGACTATTTTGTTGAGGAAGAAGACTTTGTTGAGGTCCACAATGAGCGTTTTTGGAAACCTTTTGTGGAAAAGCCTGTTCACGGTATGCTATTCATCTGATGATGCTTCATCTGATTGTTGCCAAACTTTTTTTCTTGTATTATATGGACAAAATTGCCTTTAGTGTCAATTTCCTGTCATTTTCTTCTTCAATTTATGGAGTTGACGGCTTTAAGATTTACATCAATATGCAAATATTGCTTTTTCTCTAGTGTTGATATGAGTTTGTCTCATGCTTTGTTGAAGGGGATGATCATAGTATAATGATATACTACCCTAGCTCAGCAGGAGGAGGAATGAAGGAATTATTTAGAAAGGTCAGCTCTATGATTTCCATTTATTTTTTCGTGTCATATGGAGTAAGATAAAATCACATAGAGCATCCTTAGTCTTAGGTGGTTCTTCTACTGAAGAGGCTCTAACGTTCTTGTGGAATGACAATTTTTAAGAAAACCATGATATCTTTCCAAATATGGTAGCCATTTTTTCTCCCAAGAAGGTTGGTTGATGCTTGCTGCCTCCCTAAACCAATCATAATAATTTTTTGTTAGTTCAGGCTTGTGTTTTTCCGAATCCGTTGGCATATAAGTCATAGCAGTGTGCAACCAAAATGTGTTCTTAAGGAGGTATGGATGGTTTGAAAGGTTCAGTAGAGATTTTGCCTCATGCTCTATTTGTGACATGTTTGTGAAATGACATTTAGGAATGCTAGGAGATGTATTCTGATTTCAACTTGGTTAGCTGCTCAGCGGTGATAAGGTCTGGTGCTTATCCATATCCATTTACATATGCTACCACTTTTCGTTTCAGGTTGGCAATCGTTCTAGTGAGTTCCATCCAGAGGTTAGAAGAGTGAGACGTGAAGGCTCCTATATATATGAGGAATTCATGCCAACTGGAGGAACAGATGTCAAGGTTATATAGTTTTGGTCTATATTACTCGATAATGAATTTTTGTTTCGTGAATTGTATAGCAGTCTAGCAGACAAAGGCAGATTCTCTCTATCTTTTGCCTGGTGCATTAACTTCAATGCAATCATTTGTTTTTCTTTTGTATCTACAATTAAATCCTTGCATCTTGTCACAGGTATACACAGTTGGTCCCGAATATGCACATGCTGAGGCAAGGAAGTCTCCTGTTGTCGATGGTGTTGTCATGAGAAACCCCGATGGCAAGGAAGTAAGTACTACATGTAATCCCTTTCTCTGGTCCATCATTCTTAGTTTTTTGTACTTCTGTTATTTATTAGCCATTATGTTATAGCTTATAACTTATCTACCATCTCCTGCATGGCTGCATCTAAGAGATGTGTCTCATAGACGCCTAGAGCATAATTTCAGCACCTCTGGGATTATCAGATATGTTTGTTACTTTAACAAATTTTTTTCATTATCTGATTTGACTAGTGGTGCACTGGTTGAGCTGGTGACTAGTTATCTGTCCTAAACTGTTGATGTTTGAGCTGCTTATAGTAACTATGTATTACACTGCATATTCTACAGCAAGCAGGAGTTGCTGGAGTGAACTAAAATTTTTGGTCAGGACGAGTCGAAAGACACTTGAAACATATGTTTGTTATTTCTATTGACAGGTACGATATCCTGTTTTATTGACACCTATGGAGAAGCAAATGTCAAGAGAAGTCTGTATGGCATTCAGACAAGCGGTATGTCATTTTTATTTGGCACAACACATTCTGTTTCTTGTTACTAGGCATTTTATTATCTATAAGAACTTTTGCCTTTTTTATCATTTTTTATGCTTGTATCAGTTAGCCATTTGCCTGCTCGTGTTTATTGTATGAAATCGTTGTGTTGGCCTTAAATATCCTGGGATTTCTATTCTATTATTTATTTACTTTACCTATAGTTACAGCATTAACAAGTAAGCCTTGAATGTGCTGTGATTTTTTTCTACTTGGAATTATATAGCCTTGATTCAATGAATTTAGCTAGAGTGCGGGGCTAATTGGTCACTGTACATTTCTTTTTTAATCATCTCATTTCCTAATTGCTGGTTATTAATTCTTGACTTATTTTCATTTTTCATGCAGGTTTGTGGATTTGATCTCTTGCGTTGTGAGGGACGCTCCTATGTTTGTGATGTGAACGGGTGGAGCTTTGTGAAGAACTCTTACAAGTAATGCTTTTTTAGATTTGTGTTAATCAAATAGCTCATATTTCGTGGTCTTATGGTTGTCATGCCTAATTTCATCAATCCCTGTCATGATATTGCTGTCTTATATTTCCTTTCAACCTGAAAGTTTAAGTACCGTAATTCTTATGAATCATTTCCTTTTAGTTTTTCCTTCTTCTGACAAGAGCATATTTATTTTTCCTGGTTCAGGTATTATGATGATGCTGCTTGTGTGCTTAGGAAGATGCTTTTAGATGCTAAAGCTCCTCATCTTTCTTCAGCAATTCCACCAACTTTACCATGGAAAACTAACGAACCAAGCCAACCTTCTGAGGGGTTAACTCGCCAAGGAAGTGGAATCATTGGTACATTTGGGCAAGCTGAGTTGCGATGTGTAATCGCCATCATTCGCCAGTATGTCATATCTCTCTCTCTCTCTCTCTAATGGAATGATACTCTTTTCCATTCTTAGCCTTTTTATGTTTTTGGCAGTGGTGATAGAACTCCAAAGCAAAAGGTGAAGCTGAAAGTCACTGAAGAAAAGTTGCTAAACTTGATGTTAAAGTACAATGGAGGAAGGCCTAGATCTGAAGTGATTAGCAACTCCTTTTAGTTTCTTGACGTCTTTTCCTTTTGTTTTGCTAATGATATTGTATAGTTCTAACCACGAGATTTTGGTTCTTTTCTTGTAGACGAAACTGAAAAGTGCTGTGCAGTTGCAAGATCTGCTAGATGCCACTCGGATGCTTGTTCCTCGTACTAGGTACTCTCAAGTTACTTATATTAGTTTCTTTTTAACTTTTCACTGCTTTGTTGATTGTCTTTTTCGATTATTTTTTTCATTCTCCTTGTTATAATTTAGTAATGTTGCATGGCCTAGTCATACTTGATTTTTGTATTAAAGTTTAGTTGTTCTATGTGATTGGTGACTCTCTACATTTTACAGGCCAGGTCGAGAAAGTGACAGTGAAGCAGAAGACTTTGAGCATGCTGAAAAGCTTCGTCAAGTTAAAGCTGTCCTCGAAGAGGTTTTGTGATAATTTCAGACAGCGTTTTTCGTTGAAAGTATCCAGGCCAAATGGTCCAAGTGTATAGATAATATATGTATGAGGTTGAGTCCTGCATTAATTCTATGTACCATTGCACTGGCTCTTATCATTTTGTATCGTCATTGTCCCAAATATATTTCAGGGCGGACATTTCTCTGGAATTTATAGAAAGGTTCAACTTAAGCCACTAAAATGGGTCAAAGTAGCAAAAGCTAATGGTGAAGGTGAGGAAGAACGGCCTGTTGAAGCCCTAATGGTTCTTAAATACGGGGGTGTCCTTACACATGCAGGAAGAAAACAGGTGTGACCTATTACTTTTGGGTCAGTCTTATTTGTTATTATGTATTCAACTTCTGTTTCTTACTTTTATTTTCTCTCGTAAATTTTCAGGCTGAAGAACTTGGTAGATATTTCAGAAACAATATGTATCCAGGTTACTGCCATAATTCTTTTCACTATAATAGACAAAATCCATTTGCTTGAACATATCTCCTAAAAAAAATGTCTATGACTAGCTTTTCTTGCAAAGTGACATTCTGTAGACATCCAGATTCCTGAATATCATGATTTAGATTCAGTATAAAATCTCATGTTAAATCTTTAGGGTACTTTCATAATGAGTTTATAAAATATAGCAGGTGAAGGAACTGGCCTGCTTCGCCTCCATAGTACATATCGTCATGATCTTAAAATCTACAGTTCTGATGAGGGCCGTGTGCAGGTATAATTGCAGCAATACTTGCATCACTTTTTCTTCTTGTTCTATTCGTCTGTTCTCCAAAATTTGGCCTATTTTCTTTTGTTTATACACGTAATTATTGACTTCAGCATCATTAAGGAGCAGCATTATTAACAATGTAATTGTCAACAGATGTCCGCAGCTGCATTTGCCAAAGGCCTCCTTGATCTAGAGGGACAGCTAACGCCAATCCTGGTCAGCTTTTTCCTTGAGAGAGTCTTGAATGCTTTTGAAAGTTATGGTTTTATGACTGACTATCATATTTTTGAAGGTCTCTCTTGTGAGTAAGGACTCATCTATGTTGGATGGACTTGACAATGCCAGTGTTGAGATAAAAGAAGCCAAGGTTTTCTTGCTTATTTCCTCAGGTTTTTTTTTTTTTTTTTTTTAAGAAGGATTTCATTGTATGTTCTTGTCCCAGGTAGTGATTTTTTTCTTTCCGCATTATAATTTGCAGGAAAGGCTTAATGAGATTATAACTTCTGGTGCAAAGACAGTTGATAGCAATGGATCACCTTTATGGATGATGGATGGAGCTGGCCTTCCATCAAATGCTTTTGAACTTCTACCCAAACTGGTAATCACATTGAGTTAACAAAACCAAAATTGCCCCCTTTTCTTTCCTTTTATAATCATCCTGCACAACAGAATCTATTAAATTGCTATTAGATTGGTGTAGGATGTAAAAGTGAATAACATGCGCGCGCGTGCACAACATTATCTCTAGTATACCATTGAATGTCAACACGCATTAAGTGGATACTAAAATAATCCTTTTCAATGAATAGGTCGAGCTTACTAAGAAGGTTACAGAACAAGTGAGATTGCTAGCCAAGGATGAAGATGAAGAATTTATTGAGTCCAGCGCTTATGATGTGATTCCCCCTTATGATCAAGCAAAGGCCCTTGGCAAGACTAATATTGATGTTGACCGTATTGCTGCTGGGTTACCATGTGGTAGTGAAGGATTTCTTTTGATGTATGCTCGCTGGAGAAAGCTTGAAAGAGACTTGTATAACGAACGAAAAGTGTGAGTATTTCCCATTTCTATTACTTGGCTGTACTGGATGTGGATTGGCTTGAATGATTGCGTTATATTTCTTTGATACATGAAATGTACGACAGATTCATGGATTCTTTTAAACCTAGGAATGGTTTTGGACATTGGACAGATTTTAGCAATTTTGAGTATTTAAATTTTGTTTATTACTTAATTTTTGTGAATCTTGAGATAAACTACTTGTTTCTATTTAGTTTTTGTTGAAGTAAAAAAGAAAGCAAAATTGTTATATAAAAATGAGAGAATTTATTTCAAGTGCTTACCTCCGATTTGTGGGTTTACTTGCAGGCGGTTTGACATCACACAAATTCCGGATGTCTACGACTCATGCAAGTAAGTCGCCTGGTATTATCATGTTAGGATGCTAGGCTTTTAAAAATCCTATTGTTTAACAGTTTCTTATGTGTTACTCACCCGTCTGCTGCTGGAAATATTCTCGTCTGGCTTGCATGTTTGTCCTCATATTATCTCATTCTTTATAATCTAGTGCTGCCGTGCTTCGTCTTCTAATTCCGTTGCATCTCCTCACCTCTGCCCTCTACTCTTTAGGTCTTGATTTGAAATATATTTCTTCTGCCAGTGCAAGGTCATAATCATCAAGCCAAAAAAAAAAAAAAAGGCAGCTCAGGTCCCAACTTTACCTGTCCTATGTCCAATGGCAATCAATTATGTATAACATTAAACAATTTGATTTGCTGCAATCAATTATGAATAACATTAAACACTCTGATTTGCTGCAATCAATTACGAATAGCATTAAACAATCTGATCTGCTTTTTATGATTCATTATACATAACATGCCATTACAAAGAATATTATGGGATTATAAAATCTTATTTTCCTCATCTGAATGTGATGTATGTGTTTTCCAGGTATGATCTTTTGCACAATGCACATCTTAATTTAGAAGGCTTGGATGAGCTCTTCAAAGTGGCTCAGGTACAGAATTTGTCAGACTGTGAGGAGAAGTTCCTCTTTCATGAATAGAAAAGGAAAAAAAAAAAGCAGTCTTCAAACACTTCTAGCGAGAGAGATCAAAAAAGAAAATTTCCCCATAGTACTGAATACCGAGGGTGTTAGCAACTTTTGGAAAGGAACTACTTGTATCTTGCCTCTAGCGTATTTGTGTACATATGAGCTGTTGTTTTGAGGGATCAGGTCTATTTCGGTAAATGTTTGGTCTGAACCACTTTCATTGTATTGCTATTTCAGTTACTTGCAGATGGTGTCATCCCAAATGAGTACGGAATCAATCCAAAGCAAAAGCTCAAGATTGGCTCAAAGGTAGCTTCCTGCTATCTTATCCTCTTCTCAGTTTGTTTCTGGTGCTCCAAAACAAAACATCTTTGATTATGGATTAGTGTCTCAATTTGTTTCATTCCTACCTTGACTGTATGTCCTGCATTTCAGATTGCTCGACGTCTGTTGGGTAAGATTCTGATTGATCTGAGAAACACTCGGGAAGAAGCCATCAGTGTTGCTGAGCTAAAGAGTAATCACGATCAAAATTCAGATTTGTCGTCGGAAAAGGATGATGTGGAGTATCCTTCCAAGTTCTACAGTACGAATGATGACATGAAAAGATCAAGCACTAACGATATATTAAAGGTTAAAACTAAGAATGATGACATGAGAAGATCTAGCACTACAAGTGACATATCGATGGACCAGGATGATGACGATGACAAGGAGACCAAATACCGCCTGGATCCAAAGTGAATATTCAAGCCTTTTTCCCATTATTACTACATCTCTAAGCTATAACTGATTCTCATCACATTAATATACCATCTATATTTTCTTTTAGGTATGCAAATGTAAAGACACCTGAACGCCATGTGCGCACACGCCTCTACTTCACATCAGTGAGTATAAAAGCTCTTTCCAACTTATGTCTACAACTACGTAATCTGCTTTAGAAAATTTTAATTAATCTGCATATCCTATATTGACAGGAATCACATATCCATTCTCTCATGAATGTCCTCCGGTATTGTAACCTGGATGAATCTCTTCAAGGAGAGGATAGCCTTGTGTGCCATAGTGCTTTGGAGCGCTTATACAAAACTAAGGAGCTTGACTATATGAGCTACATCGTGCTCAGAATGTTTGAGAACACAGAGGTTGGTAAATTTGACAGATTTAATCTACGTTTAAAGCTAATACAGACCAGCTGTCCTTTGAATTACATGAATAATACCTGTGTGTGAGACCAATCTCCATTTCAGTTCAGAAATTTCTCCAAAAGGTTGTCATAGTATCCGGCAACTATGGTGCGAGTGGTTTTAAAACGGGGCTATTCAGCCTGATAATGGTTCATCTCCTCAATTCAGAGAAACCTTTCTTAAAAGAAAGGTTTCTCATGTTTGGATGTCCCCATCCAATTCAAGACTGATCTTGAAATTAAACGCGACTGTTTTCTGAGCTCTAGCTCTACAATTACAATGTCTCCAATTATACTTCTATTGTAGTATATTTATGCAGTCGTGATGCTGAGCGCTATTTTTTTTTTTTTTTTTTTTTTTGGGTGGAAATGAAACTGCAGGTAGCTCTAGAAGACCCAAAAAGATTCCGGATTGAGATGACTTTTAGCCGTGGTGCAGATTTATCTCCTCTGGAGGTCAGTCAAAGCAACAATATTCGTCGTAGTTGGACATTCTAGATGGAAAGTTGATAAGACATCTTCATGCTTGTTAATTATGCTCTCTGTTTTTCTTTTATTGGCATGCAGAAGAACGACATTGAGGCAGCTTCATTACATCAAGAACATACACTGCCGATAATGGGTCCAGAGAGGCTTCAAGAAGTGGGATCATATCTTACACTGGAGACGATGGAGAAAATGATTCGACCATTTGCAATGCCAGCTGAGGATTTCCCTCCACCATCGACGCCTGCTGGGTTCTCTGGATATTTCTCGAAAAGCGCGGCGGTGCTTGAGCGACTGGTAAATCTTTGGCCTTTCCATAAGCATGCAAATTCGAATGGAAAGTAAGAAGCTCTCTTTGTTTTTCCTCTTTTCATTAACGGCCCATCTCCGTCTTAACCGTAATCTGAACTAAAGGTTGGTTGAACGATCGAAGTCGGTAACTTTGAGCTCTTCTTGGGAAAACACGGGAAACAACAAATCGACTTTTAATCTTTGAAAGGAAAAAAAAAATCGACTTCTTGTTTCTGACGTCGGAAGTAAACGTGGTAATCGGAACTGACATAGTTTTCAGTTTTTATGGGTTTTTTTTTTTTTTTAATGTGAATAATAATTATGTTCGGTTAATGATCTTTTTCACACGTCACCGCAAAATTGGTGTCGTGTAAAACTTTAGTTCCTTGCGTTCAGATTTCAGATTCTTTAATGCCAGAAGTTTCTTGTTCTGTAATAGGATTCGCCCAAGTTTTCAATCAGATTTGTAATATTTTTTTGTTTAGTTTCTTCTCTTCCATAAATTCCCCATTTCTCGAGGAGTTAATTTCACTTATCCTATTGTTATCTATTATTTTATGACAATTAACAAATACAGCTATATATTTTCATGATCTTCTTTAAGAGTTGTTAATCTTATGCTGAAATTATTAAATTAAACATGCCTAGTCGTAAATACTTGCTAGTCTTCGGAAAGAGGGAGAGAGAATACTCTTTTATCTTTTTTTTTTTTTTTCAAAAGAACTTTCGCTTGGATTACAAACGACATGTCGTCTCGTATGAAACCGACAATTTGACTTTTAAATAATACATGACGTTCTTTAGTGATTTCGTCATTTTTGGACGGAGAAGTGCATGCGGTTTACTAAACAAACGACAGCAGATTTATACATCAACTGTATGTAGTCTGAATAAAATCAGTAAACCTTTTTTTTTTTTTTTTTTGAGTAGAGGGAAAGTATGTAAAATAGATGCATGGATGGTGGAAAGAAATCTAACCATTAATGCCCTTTTCTATTCAAGAAACAAGTAAAAATAAATCATGTGATGTTAAAAACAACACATAAAATTTATCCTGGAAGAAGAAATAAGTTATGATAAAGATCAAGGATCAAAAAGTTGTTAGAGACATCAAAGTGAACCTGAAAAAATTGGAGAATTATAAATAAAAGAGTAGAAACATAAATCAAAATCAATATTAAAAGGTAAAAAAGATGGACGTATCTTTAAAATTAAAAATTTCAGTCAGTTGTATAAAAAGATTGACACCATAAACGTTGAAAATGTATAATCTAATGAGGTGAATGCTGCTTGGCTGAGGAAGTAAAGGAAGGTTGTTTAGACCTTCCCTGCAAACCTCTATATCTCCTTATTTGAAATACATAGAAAATGAAAAAACTTAAAAGGAAAATAATAACCAAACTCAAATCTACAATTCTATATACAGTCATTTAAAGTTTGAATAGACGCAATATTACGGAGAAGAGTATCAGTTATTAAAGTTTAAAAATTGGATAGGGATTTCTGAGGATAACTGAATAAAGGCAGTTGTCTTAAAAAATGAAATAACTAACTTATATTTTAATTTTTAATAATTTTTTGAATTGTAAAAATTCGATACAGAAATCTGGGGTTAATTGAAGGAAGGCAGTTATTTTGAATAGAGTTGAGCGTTTACATTGATATCGAGTAACTGAATATAGGCAGTTATCGTATAAGGAGGGAACTTTAAAAAAATTTATTTGTAAAAACAGAGGGAAGAGGTCATGAAACTGCTTTTAAACGAAAACCATTCATACATATTCAAGTTAGAATTAACCTTTCAGAAAGCATAATATGAGAAGAACAAGAGATTTTGAAAAAAAGTGTATTTAAATGAAATACAATAGGGGATAAGGCGTACGATTGAAGCAGCAAATATATTAAAAGACTTAAAAAAGAGAAAATTAATAGTAAGAACTGTTGAAACTCCCATAAGAAAGACTATTTAACTCTTACAAGAAGAGACTAATAAACTTTATAGAAGAGAGATACTGCGTAAATAAATAATTACAACAATGAAAATAATAGAAACAAAATGAGACAAGGTTAAAGGAGACAGTCTCAAGAGAATTATTCATATAAAAAGCAATACTAATAAATTATACAAATATCTGAATCTAATAAACCTAAGAGCAGAGAACCAGTAACAAGTTTGTTCACCCAGAACTAATAACAAACATATAATCGACAGTAATGAAAATATCAAAATTAGATACACGGTATTAATCTAATAAAAACAATGTAGTTGAAATGGAAAGAGAGAAAATATTCAGAAGAGAATCTGCCTCAGGAGGATAGAACAATGAGAAAAAAGATGGTATAATTCTTCTGAAAATAATACTCAAATAGTAAAAAGTGTACACTATCCAAAACAAACGAAAAGGAAAATATGCTCGTCAGTTTTTGCTCAAAACAAGAGGATGTTGCAATTATTGGTAGTTAAAAACTATGCATTACAAACAAATCAGTAAAAAAAACTTCAATACTAGAAGAATGCTGCGTATAAATACCTCTAATCCAAACATGAGAAGTGTAGAAACTATCGACTATGATCGGCAAAACCACCTGACTACTACAGATCGTCCATGTAAAAAAAAAAAAGAAAGAGTAAACTCAAGACACCAATAAACTTTGAACAATGATGTATTATGCAAACACACTTGTCTATCATAAAAAGCATGTCGTTTTACTAGTTTAACAAACTTTAAAGGGTCGCAATTTATTGATAATTTCTTATCTGACTCTATAATACCACTTGTTTGCCTATCAACATGAACAGCAAAGTTTGAAGCCGACTTTAACATCGGCAAACTTTAAAGAACAGACAACACTTTTTTCTCTAATAAAGTGACAAATAGCATCTCGTTTTTCAACCGAAACAACAAAAAAGTTTCCGGACAAATGATGCGTTGTTCTTCGACAAACACAACCACCAGCCTAATCACATTGAGGATTTTTTTTTTTTTTTTTTTTTTACTGAATTAATCATACTGAGCTTACTTCAAGTAGTTTGGTAGGTTGGTTTATTGTCTCGTAATGGAAGTATGAGACTATTTTCAATTTTGCATCCATTGACCTACACAAATAGTCTCTTTAGCTACCACTAATCGAATGTGCGTGTGTGTGTGTGTGTGTGTGTGTGTCTATATATATATATATATATATATATAATTTTCAATAAGCGGATCCCTGGACTAATAGCTACCACTAATCGTCTCTTTAAACACTTTTCCATAATAATAATAAAAAAAAACATTTTATTTTAAAAAAAAGGTTTCTCGTTTTTCTACAAGTTTCCAAACAATATTTAACCTTTTTCCTGAATAATCTTTGACTAGAAGCAACACTAGAATATATACCTTGATAACATTTCTTCATATAACAGCGAGCAAATCATAGGTAGGCGGGGACAAGACACATTCTCCGACGGCACTATTCGACCTAACTTATCTACCTAAACCCACTTCATAATTTTCATGTCACTCGCCCGTTGCGTATTCTCTTCTCCCCCGCACCAAGTCCAAACGCTCCGTCGTGATTCTGCAACGACACAAAATGTGAGCTCTGCCTTCCCACCTTTTTCTTCTTCATAATACAAATGTGGCGTAACTATTTGTTGAGTCTTGTTGTGATTTTTGTTTCCTTTTCACATATTTTTACATCTCTTGGTGACGCTTATCAAACAACAAACTTATAGTGTGCGGCTAGCTATTATTGCTTTTTCATGATTCCACATTTTGTGACCAAACTCTTATCGGTGCCATTTGATAGAGTGGGTGGACATTGTGGGTTCTTCTTTGGTTTGATATATATATATATATATTTCAATTTTGCTGGTATTCAAGATCACAATTAATTAGGTATATAGCAATATTAGGTAATCTAACTTTTTTATATCCGTCTCATTACACAACTTTAATGAAAGAGAGATTGGATTGTCTGATTGTAAATAAAGTGTTTGACAAAGGATGGTTGGGGTTATCACTAAATATCTTTTAGAATAACAATTAAAAAGAGAATCTTATAATGGAAAGCTTTATTTAGCTTCGAATTACATGATTTCTTCTTATCAACTTTTCGCACTCGGAATCCTTTTTTTTTTTTTTTTTTTTTTTTTTTCCCCTTTTTTTTTTTTTTTTTTTTTTTGTTTCCCCTCTTTATTTTTAGCTTTTGTTAGCCATGTTTTAAAACAGGATTCGATTACAACCCTCCAACTCAGGCTGAGAATAAAGGAACCCAATGTTCAAAGATTATATACCACCTAATGCATACAACTGTCCATAAAAACCAATAATTACCTTATCTCTTTCTTATTATTGGCACTATATGTTTTTTCATTTGTAAGCTATGAATCTAAAATGCATGTCATTGTCCACGTATTATGATTATTTTTGCTTATTTTATATTTTCTCTCTCTCTTAGTTAGATAATGTTTCTAAAACCTTCCTTTTTCAAACTCATTTAATATTTTCTAAAAAATAATCAAATCTAATTTCTTGACTTTATTAATTTAATCTCTCTGTAAAATCAAAAACCTATTTCCCTCATGATGATTAGTGCTACTTAATGCTATTATTTGTTGTAATTGTTATCGTAGCTTCTACACATTTGATTACCTGTACACTGACGACTGGTTTATTCTCAAATAAGACAAAATGTGGATGGCGCGTAATAAAGGGAAGATTGCTGAAAAGAGAAGCATATCTCTAGTTTGTGTCACTTTCTTTCAATATCAATGGAAACTTCACTCTGATGTCTCTTATGCTAATGGTTACTTTTCTTCACGTCTCTGTAGCCGAAAGACCAATTATTTGTGAGATTTTACTGAGAATGTGCTTCTATTTGCTAAAGTAATGACCCTGAGCAGACGTATGGATGAGCATTATTCAGAAAACGTGGAAGGCCATTAACATTTCAATCCTAATATTCAAAGGCAAAGAGGAATTCTTAGCAAAATAAATTATGTTTTGTATTTTTTTTCATGCTTCTTGCTAAGGCCATTATTATTTTTATTGGTCTATTGACAACACAACTTCTTTGAGGAGCATACCAAACGAAAAAGCTGTGTAACAATAAAAATTTAGAAGTCGATGAGCAAAACGCGTATTTTGTTGCGAATTAAATCCCTGGAAATTGAAGCGTCTTTCTTGTTGGGAACGTGTAAACAAAAGTAACACATTGGTTAGACATAGAATGGATTATATGGGTTTAAAAGACTTTGGTTACTCTCTGAAATTAAACCCTGATTAATTAGAAAAACGCAGGGTGCTCAAAATGGGTTTTTTTTTTTTCCTTCTCTTATCACGAATCAGTATTGAGTTGGCAAAGACATGGAACTTTCTCATGCTATAATGCAGTGATTCCATTCTGCGTAGAATTGGACGATCAATATCCATAAAGAAAAAAAGAGAATATTAACAAATAGTGGTTCATCGTATTTTATTTGTGTTTGTGTGCGTTTTGATTAGCAAAAAAAACAAAATACGTCAAAGAGAGAATTTTTATTGGCCCTTTTAGCTTTTATGAACAGGCATGCAGCTTCGTGATCAAA